GTGTAGGTCTTATTGCATAAATGGGTAAATATACAAATCTGTTAATGAAAAAAAATCTTGAGTTAGACCATGATTATTAGTACTGGGTATAAAATTAAAACAGCACTTCTTAGTAAAATTAGTAAAAAGCTTGAAGACGCTTGGCTTGTCTGTCCTTTTCTATAGTTTCGACTTCCGTAATCAAAGGTAGAGTACAACCCTGTCCACATCTAACAGTTCAGTTATTGGACATCGCTTTTTTGCTCACAGTCGGTCAATGCACATTTACACTACTCTCCCGAGAACCCCTTCGTGGTCACTTTGGTCGCCCGAGAGAAGTTTATCGGTAATGGTTATTTCACCCTATGTCGCCACATGTCGCTGAGTTTCATTGACTTTCGATGCTCTCTGGTTGCTACGGTGTTGCTAATATTTTTGTTTTTTTATTTATTATTAGCAAAGTTAACTTCATGTATGCTCAGTATGACCTGAAACTGGCGATTGAGCTCATACAGTCACCAGAAACGTGGAGGTCACACAGTCGAGGGCCGCTATCCTGCAGGCTTCTCTATAATGTCAAGTCTATTTCATTCAGCAGAGTTCACTTCACTCTAAAGAATTAGCACCAATGAACAGCCACTGTGCAGCATGCAAGCACCAATCAAATTTCTTTTGATAACAATGAAGGACTTCAAGAAGTTGCAGCAATCAAGTTGTCATGGTGATGCTGAGGGTGGCTGCGTTCACTCGCAGACAGATTGGTGACAGTTTGCAGTGAATGTGAAACAGTCTGTTAATGAGTGCAACTTTTCTATGACGCATCTCTGTGACCTACGAACGTTAAAGCGCTGATGTACAAAAGTAATTTAGTAAAACCTGTTACATAAATGCAGTCACTCTCTAATACACAACATACACATTGATAAATTAGCTACATGTGCATCATAGACCCTCTTAAAAATCATTACAATCTCAGAAAGGGTTACAGGATTGTCATAAATGACTCATTTTGGACCTCAACAGGAAGTTGAGCTAAATCTCATTAACACCTGTTACTGTGCTAAATGCTGATTTGTTAACAGTTAATTAAACCACAAATTATTAGCTGCTTATTAATGAGGTTGTCTCATTGCAAAGTCATACTAGATCCAACCACATACGCTGCACGTTGTCTGTTTCATTAAACTCACCACCGTCCGGTTGGCCTCTATGCTGGAAAACTCTGGGTTTGCGTTCTTGGCGTAAATGGTCACGACAACGCTGTTGCCAGTCTGATGCCAGTCATAGCGACACGCCACCTTCTTCTTGTCCTGCAAACACACACGTGAACCCACACACACACCGGTGAGCTGCACAGCCAGACTGCTGCGACACCGAGGAGCGACTCGAAGGCTGATAATCATAGTTATCAAATCTAAATCAAAACATCCCAATGAAAGAGAGAAACCTTTTTATTCCTGTCCTGGTTTGAGTGTTTGGATTGCTTTAGCGCTCTTCAAGGACATTTGCATTTGTGGTAAACATGATTTGTTTGACTTGAAGTTTGACTTGTTTTTTGTCTGCCCTCATACATAAATCTTCCCACTCAAGTCTTTGTTTTGTAGTGATCAAAAGGACAAACAAGTGAACCGTGCACGCAAAAATAGGTCACTTTAAAGCTTTTTTTGATGTTGTTGTCAGCCCTTGAGATCTGTTTTCCTTTTTCCCTGCAAACTTTGATCCGATCCCTGGTGTCCCACCAGCAGTTTCTCTAGTACATTCTCCAGGTGGTGCGTGTACCTGCTTTGGGACCCAGCGGTGTTTCCCCATGGTGCAGCCCTTCTGGTCCAGGAAGGCGTTGAAGTCTGTTGTCTTGATGCAGCAGCAACTCCAGTACTTGTACCTAAACAACAACAAAAAAAGAAAATACAAAGAAATGGTCACAGTTTGTAAGAAACAAGCCGTGTCATCCTGGAAACAACAACAACCCTACGTGATCCCCATGAAATGAGCCTAATTCAGGTTTTGTTAGGAAGCTGCCCAGCAGTAGGAAGCCCAGTGTTACACTTAATGTGATTTATAAGCAGCGCTTGCAGTTTATTTACTCTTAAAGTCTGTTTGTAATGTTGCAGATTTGCTTTAATTACCAATCTTTAATTAACTCTCTTATCTCGACGCTTTTATGTTTCTTGCTTTGCGTGCACGGCCTTCAGTTTTGTTTTGTTTGCGTCCCTCTTTTGTAGAAGTCAGCTAATTGTTGTTTTTGATACGAGCTATGCAAATAAAGAATGTAATTACGGTTTTGTTACAGTGGATTAGACTTGTTTTTGTTAAAAAAAAAAAAAAAATCTCCGGTAAACAAGTGGCAGGGAGTTTTTGTTCTTACCCCTCGTGAAAGACGGGAGCTCCAGGATGGTGGGTGCAGACCTCCATGTCGGTCTGTGGTCCTTGGTAGACCTAAACACAGAAACATAGCACACAATGCAGAGACCATCCAATCAGTTGTGGTGACATTTGATAATATTAAAGATTTAGAAGTAAAAGATTATGTGTAATCTTAAGGTTTTCTTCCATTTTTAACAGGGCGATGTCATATTTTCTGTCCAATAAGTGGTGTTCAGCCATTTTTAATTGTAAAGGCAAAGACCTTGAAGGGTGAAGTGAAAGGATAGCTCCCTTTTATGTCAGCACTGTTTGTTAAATCACACTCAGGGTCCTTATAAAGCAATTAAAGGTCATTAGTTCGTTCGTGAATCACAGTAGCTTCATAAATAAACATCGATTCTATCCTCAGTCCTTTGTTTCTGAAGTTCTTCCCATCAGAGTTCATTTCATCAACAACCTTTTTTGGTTTTGGAGGAAAACAGTATAGTGATACAAACAACAAAACGATGACTAAATAAAAATGAGTACACAAGGAAATCTTTATCTGCCTTATGACAATCAAAGTAGGCGAGTAGTAGCTTCGATTTCTGTCCTTTCAGTGACGTTGTTGGCTCGATTTCATTCAAGACTGGTCTGTTGGTATTTATAAAATCCGTCTTCTCACCACATCTCAAAAATACTGATGATTTAGTGACTGTGCTGTTTTCTTATAGTTCAACTATAGGTGACCATGAAGGAGATCAAACTGTACGTAAGCCTTCTTTTCATGTCCTTAGATTTCTAAGATATTATCCGATGATTTCATCGTTGCCTTGACGTGGCTCATACTTTTCATTGATCATAGCAGGTTAAAGTTCATGATCATTTCTATATCATTGCCTTCTATGTCAAAGGTGCTTTTATATAAGGTGTTTCCTGTCCAGTTGCTTTCTTTCCAAGGTCCTTAGACTACTGACTGAGAATCTACATAGAGGTAAGTGTGCACAGTTCATGTGTGATCATGTGATCAAACTGAATGGGTTTAAAATCCGAAAATATTTTGAAAGTAAAATTAAAGACTAAAAAAAATCTCATTTTTTTAAGGTAAACTAAAAATGTGAACGTGAAAGCTTGGTGTGCTTTGTGAATTGTGATGTTTTACTGTATTTAAAAGGGTTAAAGGTCAAAATGATGTGAAAACACAGAAGCGTGTCACCGCTCAATTCTCAGTTTCTCACTGCCTCCATCTTTGGTGGCCGATAGTGATGTTGCACTCTCCCTGGGTAAACACTTTTGATCACGAGTTAAGTGGTGGAAGGTAACTCCAAACACTTGCAATCACGCTCAGAGAGACTGGTTAAGGTTTACGAATAACTACCATCCAATTTATAAATGCAGACAGATCACCAGCATGTTGCCATCAGTCTGAGTGGTCTTTCTGCAGTAGGTGACTGGATTCAGCTGGCTGCCAACTGGTTATATTCCAGTTTACGGTCAAGACTGCCAAGCACCGATGTCATCTGGCAGTTAAATCTCCATCCTGCTGCAGCTATTTACAAATTTGTGTTTCAGATCTGTGAGCTTCTGTCCACACTCTGGATTCAAGTATGAATTTCTGTGTATGCAAATGGCAACAAATTAGCCATTTTCACTCATTTATCACAGTTAATTGCCTGATTATCACAAACAGGTTGCATGTAATTGCCAACTTGATAACTGATAACTGATTAGAGACCGACTCCGTCTTATTGCACTTTTATCATCGTCTTGACGCACAATTTATTTCCAAGCAGAGTATTTATAGTTTTGTGCTCAGGAGTACAGTAGTAATCCCATATATCCTTAATTTTTTCTACTGCAAAAGGAAAAGAAAACATTAAAGTAGGTAGAAGCCTTGCATTCACTAGTCCATTAAAAACTAAAAAGCAATCACTGGGCAAACAGCGCTGCCTATACCTGTAGCATACTGTAGTTATAAGGAAGCAGCATTTTTCATAGAGTTCTAGTAAATATGAAAAGTCAGTCAACTGTTTGGAGGCTTTACGTTTGTGTATTTTCTCTACATTTGAGGAAACAAAGAGCTGCTACAGTTAGTACCAGCTGATATGTGTTGTTGCCTGCATTGTGCACTAGATGGCGCCCTTAATAAACTTTACAGAGGCTGAAGCAGAGGCTTGATGGACTGAACTCAAACGAAAGCGCAGCAGTGAGGCTGCGTTACTGCCTGGGTGCATCTGAGGGGGCCGGGTCAAGTTATTACAAAGCTGCAACCCCGCTCCACTATGTTGTGTAATAAATGGTTAAGAAAACTGCCACATGTGTGTATTATGATGACTACTTTAGTGTGAGACATTTAAAAGTTGTTAAGTCTCAGCTTTAAGCTCTGATTCAGGCATTAAATCACACAAATGACAAAAAGACACTCACTGTTTTGCATCCTGCGTTTTTGCAGCGGGTCCCGCAAATAACAGCCTGACTCTCTGTTGGAAAAAACAAAAACAGAGATAAGACACTAACAAGTCCAAGTTTTATTCCCGTGGAGTAATTCTAACAGAGCAGTGAGAGTGCACGCAGTTTTGACGTATTGATTTGTGCTGCACTGAGGTCAAATTATTCTCAGTGTGCAGACATTTTTTTCCCTTTTCCCTCTTTTTCAGAAACGTCTCGATAAAACTGGAAGTGTGCAGCACATACTGGAGTAAGAGTGAGACACGTGCACTCCTGAATCCACGATAAACCCGCCTTACCGGCTCATTCTGACTTTAATTGAATCTAAAAAAGTTTACTTTCCCCTAAATGAGAAACACCTGCTAGTGTAGCATCAATATTTCAAACTGTTTCCAATACACGTCGACTCGTCTTTCACTGATATCGATTTGAGTGCGGCGCCTCGCTTACTTTGCCTCGTTTAAAGATTTATGCACCCGATTTCAGAAAAGTCTCAATGCAGAGCTGATTGTTTTGAAGAAAGTTTTTTTAAGTGACTTTGAGGTTTTTCCCACACTAACATCTCTAGAGTTTAGAGAGAATGATGTGAAAGAGAAAATCCAGGGAAAAACAATTCACAGGGAGAAAATGTCTTGTTGACACCTGAGCAGAAAGATCAGTCGACTCAAATAACCACTCGTCACAAGCAAACTATGCAGAAGAGCATCTCTGAACGCACAGCACGCTGAACCTCGAAGCAGAAGACCACGCCACCTATGTGCTGCTGTCAAGTTAAAATGGATCAAAGTCTCTGAGAAAAGTTTCCAGCAGCTCGTCGAATCTGTTCCAGGACGAGTTAAAGAAACTGTGAAGGCAACCCAGTGATAACGAGGTGTACCTAATAAAGTGACCAGTGAGTGTGTATGAAACATTTAAGTACTGAGCTCAGAAAAAAGGTCAGACTTCAGACTGCTTATGGGTCTGTATCACATCAGTCAGCACGGACATTCCTAACATAGCTTCAGAAGCCCCGCCCACCTCCCCGTTCAACCCTTCTGTTTGTGAAGGAGAGCCAACCAGAAGGAGGTTGGCTCAAAGCAGGAAGCACAGGGATTATTTTGAACTGTGAATCATGCAAAGCTGCTCTATCAGACTTCAAAAAGTTTCATTTCTCTGTACCACCCCTAAAGAAACAACACTGTAAACCAGAGGTGGGGAACTCAAGGCCTCAAGGGTCTACCTGGGCTGGGCCCTTCAAAGACCGGCCCACGCAGCGCTAGCTCAGTAGGAAGAATTGTTGCCGCATGATTGGAAGGTCGGTGGTTCAAATCCACTGAATGGCTACCCTGAGCAAGGTACCATCCCTACACACTGCTCCCTCTGCAGAGGAGTAATTTCCCTATGGGCACTAACACATACACATTACACACATTACACATTAGAGGGCCGGAAGTTCGAGGCTATGAAATGGGACAGTCTAACCTTCAGATTCCAGGCCTCTGGAGAACTTCAAGACATGTTGAGGAGGTAATGTAGCCTAAATCAATTGTGTTGGATCAAGGACACATCTAAAACCTGCAGG